ATCGGGTGGCAGCTCCCAAGGGGGTTTCTGTGATCCAACCCGTCACACCACCACCTTGGGCCAAAGCTCCAGCCCCACTCCTGAGGCTGAAGTCAAAGCCAGAGGGCTTCAGCCCTGAGTGGCAGGGCTCAGGTTATACCCCCTCCCCCCCCCCCGGGTCTGAAGCCCTTGGACTTTGGCTCCCACACCCTGGGGCTTGGGTCCTGCCCCCTTGCCCTGAGCTGGTGGGGCTTGGGTGGGCTCAAATTTTGGTCCCCCCCTCCTCAGGTCATGTAGTAATTATTTTTTTTTGTCAGAAAGGGGTCGTCGTGCAATGAAGTTTGAGAACCCCTGCTCTAATCTAGTGAGACATGAGGAAACCTCTGATCATGCTAGCAGCTCTTTCCTTGTGGTAGACTGCAGGGTACTATTGTTCTGAATTAATAATACAGATTACTTTGTGGTCCAAATGATATTAAAGTTGGGGTATGACTGTTTTTTTCCCCCCGGGGGGCCACATGAGCCACTGGCTAGAAATGGTAACATTCCAAAAAAAGATAATGCATCCGTTGTTTGGACTTGAGTGGGGCAGAAATGCTAGTAATTCGAGCTTTAACTTTCTGGGTTGTAGATTTTTCTTAATGTTATGGTGATGAGTGATGCATTGGATATACAGCCTATACGTCTGTGCACGTGTGCAGAATGTGCTGATGTTGGGGATGTTGCTTTTCTGAGTATGTTGATTGTTTCTTAAAACCTGACTTTAGGTCAGTTCAACAACTAAGTCTGTCTTCCCTTGACTGCAAGAGAAATCAATTTTTAAAACTGTATTCAGCCCTCAGTTTCTAGTATTAAACAAAATGTTTTGATCTAGGATCAGTTCCTCTTGGCCGTAGTCTACATCAGAAAATGTATACTGAAGTTGGGCTGCACGGAGAAGAAACAGAGCTTAACTCATGTTACGTAAATTACCTCTTGCCAACAGAAATTAATCTCCAGATCATGTTGACTGTATTAATGAAGTAACATGCTGCATCAGGTGTCTGTGCAATAGGTTGTCTGTGACTGTAGGATTTCAGTTTGCAGAGCTGTTAGTTTTAACCTTAATAAGCGTAAAATGTTTTTTAAATGTCTGAAATTCCAAATGCTACAATAACATGCTGCCATTCTGAAGTTGAACAAATGTATAAGCTTATTTTATCTTCACTTTGCCAGTCTATTGCCGAACAAAAGCTTTCACAAGCTTGTGGTGGTGTGATAATCCTCTAAACCAACACATTGAGTCTCCCAGCCAATAGGTCTTCTGCCTGTTGTCATGTTCTGCTTCAAAGTATAATAGCAAAGTATCTGTGTACTCTTAAACAAAACATTGAAGTCAAATATCTGCCTGCCTCCCGAATTTACAGCTGAAAGAATAAATGCTGAAATGATTCTTCTGGAAATCTTGTGTGTCTCTGGAAGTTCAGTATTTTGTTATTTTTTTTTTTAAACCAGGAGATCTGTTGGTTCAAATATACAATAAAAAGTGCATTTCTTTGTACTTGAATACTTCAGTGGTGCTATAAGGTACAAGTTTGAGGCTGAATCGGTTTAACAATCTGAGATGTTCTGTAATTCCTCTGGAGTGCACTGGCTGAGATATGTAAGTGCTATTAAAAAGTATTATTTATAACTCATAAGGTGACTAGTAAGACCTGTGTGGTTTTTTTTTTTTAGACATCTGAATTACCAACATGGAAGAAACCACAAATGCTACTCTGCGACTCCCTCTCTTCCTAATATACGCAGCTCTTCCTTGTCCTTTTTGTATCTAATCCTTTCATGATTAAGCAGGAATCAAGTAGTTCAGTGAATTCTTATTACTAGTTCACATTAGCCAAAGTGTGCTTTGCTCTGAATCAGACTTCTCCTGCAGGAAGCATTCCAGTTGAAAACTGATAGACTCCCACCCACCCCGGTATTTTTGGATGATCAAACTACCTGAGAGAGAGTCTACTTGAAAACTAGTCAACTCAAAAGCATGAAGTAAATGTAGCCTCAGCTACTACACTTGCCTTTGAGGCCCTCTGCAGGTTTTACATTAGCATTTTTTAAAAGGGTTTTCTTGCCCCTGTTGCAGCATACTTGTACAGACAGCCGAGCAGATTGACTGCCCTGGTGTAGTCACGTAACTGAATGGGCATGTAGTAAACAAACCAGGAAAAATAATTTTCTCTAATATTTCAGAGTAGCAGCCGTGTTATTCTGTATCCGCAAAAAGAACAGGAGTACTTGTGGCACCTTAGAGACTAACAAATTTATTTGAGCATAAGCTTTCGTGGGTTACAGCCCACTTCATCGGATGCATAGAATGGAACACCCACAAAAAAGATATTTATACATACAGAGAACATGAAAGGGTGGAAGTAGCCATACCAACTGTAAGAGGCCAATCAATTGAGATGAGCTATCATCAGCAAGAGGAAAAAAACTTTTGAAGTGATGATCGAGATGACCCATAGAAGGTGTGAGGATACTTAACATGGGAAAATAGATTCAATTAGTGTAATGACCCAACCATTCCCAGTCTCTGTTTAAACCTAAGTTAATTGTATCTAATTTGCATATTAATTCAAGTTCAGCAGTCTCTCTTTGGAGTCTGTTTTTGAAGTTTTTGTTGTTGTTGTTGTTGCAAAATTGCCACTTTCAAGTCTATCACTGAGTGGTTAGAGAGGTTGAAGTGTTCTCCCACTGGTTTTTGAATGTTATGATTCCTGATGTCAGATTTGTGTCCATTTAGTCTTTTGCGTAGAGATTGTCCGGTTTGGCCAATGTATATGGCAGAGGGGCATTGCTGGCACATGATGGCATATATCACGTTGGTAGATGTGCAGGTGAACGAGCCCCTGATGGTGTGGCTGATGTGATGATAGCTCATCTCAATTGATTGGCCTCTTACAGGTGGTAT